GTCTTGCACTCTGGTCTGGTTAAGAAGAGATCCCAACCCTCCTCTGTGTGACATCCAACGATCTGTGGTGCCATAAGGCACCCCAGATGTTGCTTCTCAGCCAAGCTTTCTTAAGGGTACAATCCTTTGCAAGTTTGGACAGAAAGACATGCTACAATTCCCAGCTTTCTTCAACCAGCCACGGTCACTTAAACTTTCTTTGGTCTCCCTTGCTCATCCTTGTTCACCACAAATCAGATTAAGAAGTAACTTGGTTCAGTGCCTTGTCCTCTGCATTAATTATGGCAACATCCCATTGACCCGTATGGAATAGGCTTGTTGCAAGAAAGTTCTTCCACTTTCAGTAAGATTTAAACTGATGTTCAAAAAAGGGTGCCAAGATTTTTCTTTTTCCTGGCTGGACTCTTATACTTTGAACAGCTGCTTGGCATGCGGAATTATAGCAGGTGAAGTTCTATCTTGCATGTAGAGGAAGTGATGAAGATCAAGCAGCTGCATAAAACACAGGAGCCCTGCCAGACAGACAACATTTGATAACTGGTTTAGAATGAAGTACATGAGGAGTGTTGAAAGCATTGTGATTCTGTTTCAGTGACATGGTTTTAAGAGTATTCTTTGTAGGAAGGTTGGAATATAAAGAGAAAGGGAAAAAATAGGAAATGCACTCATTCAAATGATGTGAATGATGCTGCGCTTATAGTGCAGTACAGACACAATCCTATGCTACTTTAGGCAGGAAAGGGGCCTACAACACCCAGCAAGCAAAGCTGAGTGGGGTATGCTGGGATCTAGAGGCTTTTTTTCTGCCTAAACTTGCATAGGATTGCATCTCAATCTGTTCATACTAAGTGGTTCTTAGAACATGCCTGTTATAAAGTACAGATAGAATTAAAAGTTTTATTATTTTGAGACTTCAGCACATGGACAAACATGTCGCTGTCAAACTCTTGCAATACATGAAAAAAACAAACTCTAAAGCTTGCTAGTCTTTGGTAACTGCTGCAGAAACACCCTTAATTAAACTGTTAATTGCTATACTTTAATGAAGCAAAGATAATGAAAGTTTCAAATCATTTGGCTGATCAAACAAAAACAAAGGCTATTATGCTGTTTATTAGCCATATTTAATCATAGTACTTCTATATGGTTTCTTTCTGCAGAATAAACTTCTATTGAAGCCATGCTTAAGTTTAATCAAATGATATATGGACTGGAATGAAGACACAGATACAAATCTGTATTGCTTTTGTCCTTCCATCAACCGATTTCTTAGGATGGGATGCCTTTATGATATTCTCCTTCTCAACCAGAACCTTGATCGACTGTAACACCAGACTACACCATAGGCAGTAGTTCTATGATATTCTTGTTTTGGCACTACATTTGTTCAATTAGGCTGCATTATAATCTGATCTCTTTGAAATGTATGCAACCTCTGGGGAGAGAAATGACTTTTTCATGCTCTGTAAAGATGAGAAACAACAGAAAGGCAGAAAGACACAAAACATACGCTGTCAGGGTGATTTGCCTGTGCATCAGTTGCCGTGACCTTCCAATTGTTTGTTTATTCTATAAATAGAAAACCCATTCATGGAGAGAGACAATCCATGTAGCAATCACAAAGTTGTCCAAGTGCTGACAGGCATTGTTAGTGATGCATTTCCTCTAAAGAAGAGATGGGGAAAAGAACCAAATACATGTGATGTCTTGTTTCGAGCCATGGTGAACTCTTAGCAGATACAGTCCCCTCCCTTTATGAGCTGTCTGCCAGATGTCATGCCCTGCTTGGAAATGGCTGGATTAATGCAGACTTACCAGCTGGCCACTAAAATTACTATCCTATCAAAAATTGCATTAGCTTACCTGTCCAGGCACTATTTATTGAAGGCACATTGCCAGTCTAAAAAGAGTGGGGGAAGAAATCCCAACCTTTTCCCTGGTTTATGAAGCCTTCCCTATTTGGTTGCATGTAGGGAGCTCTCACTGGTACCTAGTGACACAGGCCTGAGTAAAGAGCCCAATAGTATTATCAAGGTGAGCCCCGGTTTCATATTTAGCCCTTAACATATTGGCTGGGTTCACACAATATGTCAAACAACCTGTGAAGTTATCATGGTTTGTGTTGTTTTACCACGATCTAACTGACAAATGATCAAGCGGTTTCTAGGTTATCACTGGTTCCATTCTCCTTGCTCAGTCCTCCTGCTGTTGGCATGTATCTCCTGAGCCACTGTGCCCGAAATTCAATGCCAGGGTGCATCACTCCCTGCCTACCTTCCTCTTCCTTATCGGTGCATACATAGAGGCTGGATGTTTGGATTAGTTCCCACAGTTGCTGCTCTTTCCAGGGAACTCTATGTTAGCTGCATTCCCAGACTGTGGAAACCACAATCCAAACCTGGGTTCAGATAACACAACAACCATGGAGAATCCATCATACAAATTATTGTTGCTTATTGTGGTTTCCAAAATACAAACTTACCATGGTGGATTACCATGACTGGGTTTGGACAACATGAGAGACCAACAATGGCAAGAAACCACAATGGCTTGTTGTGTTGTCTGAACCCAGCCTTTTTCTTTAAAAGCCTGATCTCATGGTTTCTTCACAGGGACAAATGACACATTGCATTCATTTTGTAGTGGGAGGCCAAGCATGTTCGTTTTATTTTAATGTGGCTGTCCATGACCTCAATTTGGATAAGGAGCAAGACATAATGTGAGGGGAGAATAAAACCTCACCCCATATTATTCCTCAACATTCTACATTCCTCCCCCAAGGGGCATTGTGAAGAAATGCTGGATATATAACTGTTCTTCTGTAAAGTTACTTTCTGCAGCCTCTGAGGGGCAATAATATATCTGAGAGGGCATGAGCTCTTGCTCTGCAGTTATCAAATGCTTGTGTAGTATTTGCTTAGTGACATTCTGATAAGGGAGAGGAAGACTAATGCTTTAAATATTGTCAGATGAGGTGTGGGTGAGGCAAATTTAGTTCTGATTGGCTAGCATTTCTAGCCAGGTAGGAAAGCATTGTTAGGAAATAGCAGTTAAAGTGCTGACAAGGGACAGTCTGAGGTAGTGAACTGTTTGAGTAGTTGTTCTTTGGTAGTCTGAGAGGGAACAGGGCTCTTAGTTGCTGTGCAGCGGTATTGCAAGAGTTGGAAAAAAATTGAGAAGCAAGTGAATACTTGAAGCCAGAATATTAAGCTATTTCTATTCTGTGGGATAAGCCAACATGACTGGCGAAGGTTAGGGACAGGGAGCAGGTGACTGTTTTATGCCAGGATGTTGCTCTAACAACTTTGCAGAAGGTTACTCAAGCAAACAGTAAAAACTCAGGTAAACTGTTCAGACAGTGGGCGGATTCAAATAACACAACTAGCAATAGTGTTGTTGTTTTTAATCCTTTTCACTCAACCTTGTCATGGTATTTCAGCATGATTTCAGATTTCCTTTCAAAATCTATACATTAGATTTTAAGGAAACATGAACAGAAACATGTCCTATGCTTTCCTAGTACCACAGTTACTTTTTGTGTCATCCAAAACAGAAAATGCAACTCGTTGTGGTATTGAGGCCAGAACTGTACAGCCACTTGGCAAGAGGCCCTTTGCCATGTTCGTATAAGTTGCCTTGGGTTCCTTGCAAGATGGAAAAAGTGGCATACAAGTGTAACAACATGACAATTTCCTATAAATACATGACAATTTCCTATAAATCTCACAAATTGCAGAAGTAGTAAAAACTTGTGGCTCTCCTGGGAGACAGAAGGACTAGAGAGTTTAGCTATGGCAGAGAGCCAGGTTGCCATTACTTCCTACATTATATGGCTGTCTACCTCCCACTCAGTAAAAGTGGAGGAGGAGAGAAGAAAAATACATGAAAGCCTCAAGAGAAGTGGCCTGTATGTAACTCATACAGCAAGATCTTATAGTTTGGACTTGATTTGTGATAAACAGCACCAAAAAGTTAACTAGTGCTGGAATGAACATGCCTACTCTTTTATACCTCAGTACTATGGCAAATAACCTTATTTGTCATTGTTTTATTACTAAAATTAGAACTTGGCATTTAGAATCTTACTCTTGAGGGAGATGTTTTATTTTTTAAATGAGCCTCAAAGAAAAAATAATTAATAGTTCTTGACTTGTTAACATCGGCTGTGACCTCTTGCTTGTGCACATGGGTGGCAGTCATATTAGCTATGTGCTCCAGTAGTTTGGCATGACTAGCTGAGGAAGTCTTGGTGCTGTAGAACATTTTTCTACCTAAAGATGCTTACAATTGCACCCTTATGTACACACTTACTTAGAATGTAGTTCTTTGGGGGTGCCTATACCACTCTGGAGTTACAGGATTTACCCTACAGAGGAAGGGAGAAGCAAGGAGGCAAAGGCCACCCCCACACACATCTCATGGTGTGAACCATTTAGATGGTCATATTCACTTATATTCCATATTTGGATCAGGAGGGAAGGAGCCCCATCAGGATATGCCACATCTTGGCAGCACCAGCCTCCTCTCCTCCCCACCCCCTGGAATGCCCTCAAAGACCTTTCTCCAAGGTGACACTTATGATCTCAGAGAACCAACTGACAAGGCTCTATCTACCACTGTGTAAGGGTGAAGGAGGAGGATCTGAGTATGGACCACGAGCTACAAGTCTGGAACAATTTTCTGAGCTACTAGCCATAGGATTCCCAGCTATCTTTCTACACTTTCTAGACCATGGGATTGCACCATTATAGGATTTATATCTCACCCTTTGACAAGTGCCCTCAAGGTGGCTCTATCCCACCATTCAAGTCTTTCAGCAGAAGCTTCATAGTTCAAGTATCTTCTGCCTGGTAATGGAAGTTCATATTTAATTGTTCTCAATCCTCTTGAAACAATGTTCATTAAGGATGATTTAAAAAACGAATACCACCACCATATTACATTGATTTAGCAGATATTGTTTGTAGTTGACTTGGACAGAATAGTAAGCATTCCCTTACCTCCTCTTTTGTTTAGCTTTGCAAAACCTGGTGCGTAGCTGTTTGATGTAGATGGCATAGACGATGAGCTGCTGAAGAAGGAAGGAGCTAGACCTGAAACCAATGGCTCGTCACATTTTTCTGAAAGAGATAGGAAAATGAATTTTTTTATAGTTGCGAGTATGGACTCATGGCTCAAAAGCATAAGAGAGATAGAGTGCAATCTTCTCTCAAGATTTTTTCTGTGCCACATATTAAGTTATTTGCAAATGTTGGTAACCTTTGATCCAAATGGAACCAAAACAAAATTCTTCCACACTTGCACAGACCAAATGCAATAGGTACAGCTATTTCCATCATAGAGAAGACCATGAGGCACCTGCCTGATTTAGGGCTATCAATAACATTAGACGAAAGAGGTAGGAACCCTAATTAATGTAACCATGGCTAAATACACAGGGAATCAAACTCAAACTTTTAGGAACTGAACACTGGAAACCTTGGGCCTGATCACTTTTACTTTCTCCCACATTTGATTTTTTTTATAAATTAATTAATATTTTTAAAAATATTAATTAATAGTTATTTCATTTATAGCCCATTTTTTTTTCCTTCCAAGGAACACTAGATGGCCTGCATAATTCTCCTAATCCTCCAAACAACAGCCCTGTGAGGTAGGCTGGACTGACAGTTTGTGATTGGCCCAAAATCATCCAGTGAGATCCATGGCTGAGTGGGGACTAGAACTCTGGTCTCCTAAGTCCCACACTCATAACCATCGCACCACTCTAGTTCCCTTTCACATTATCTCTATTACAAATGTAAAGAAATGTGCAATTTGGTAAATTCTCATAAAAATGAGTGGATACCGAATGCTTATCCATCTCCTGACTCCTCCTCCTGAAATAATTTGCTGGCCTGGTGTGAGCAGTGCACTTAGAAGGCTGGGTAAAGAAGGGACTGTCTGGAGAAACTGTAGCCATTTATTTGAGGAAAAAAGCCTCCATATCGTCCATCTAATTTCCATCTCTTCCATCTAAAAGTACTAGTTTTCAAAGTCATAGAAAGCCTTTATGATGCCAGCAGTCCTCATACCAATCCCCGTCTTTATCTCAGGTTGATTTGCCCGTCTGACATCCAGTGCATGCCAAGCAAAGAATCACTGTGCTTAACACTTCCAGAAAAGGGACATCTAGAATGCCCATAGTCGCGTAAGATGCAGGTCATGCACATGCAGCCCATCCTTTTGGCCACCTCTCCACATACATCCTGACCTTTTAACTGGCTTGCCAGCAAAGCACGGAACCCCACTGAGCTCTATTTCCTTGTAACCTCCATAACTGTCAGCGAATATTGCGTACACCGATTGTACTCAGTTATCAGGGGAAATCAAGATGGCAGTGCCTTATCTACCACACATAGCCCACTACTTAGGGAAATAACTCATTTTCACTCTTAATCTCTGCAGATGCAGCAAGAAGTGAAATTTTAGAAGTCTAATTTGCCTTTTGCTGTAATCTCTATAATCCCTTTAAGCACTTTACTTGTATAGGACTCAGTATAGAGAAGATTAACTCACTGCTATTGTCTAAAGTGGAAAGAAGGAGAATGTTTAAAAGATCCATGCTTTATTGGATGAAGGAAATGCTTAGCATTAAAGAATGTTAGGGAAAACTTTAAGGAAAATGAAAAAGAAAGTTAGTTTTCTCTCTCTTTTCAGTTGCTTACAATTTGAGTAGAGTTTTCCTCTTTTTTGCTGCCTTCATTACTTTCCTTTCCTTAAGGCTCCCCTTTATCAAAAAAGCAAAACTAGCTACTCTATGTATTTTATTTAATCTTTAAAACAAACAAAAAGTTCACTGCAGCACAGCATAGGATGTATGGATACAAATGATCTTTGGTTAATATAAATGGAGAAATCCAACTTAGCCCTTGATGGGAAGAACTCCATAAGCAGGAGATCTATATTTTCAGTACAACCAAAAGACACTGATATATGAAACAGTTAAAGTTACTCTAGAATGCTATAGCCCACCAGATCTGGTTATCCTTGCTAAGAGGAGTTATAGCAAGTTGCTGTTTAGGAACCTGTTGTATGAAGGGCTGTTGACCCAGAAGGAAAGTCAGTTGGGACATGCAGCTGATGGGATCGGTCCAGAGCTGGTGATGAGCAGGACATGAGCCAGAAGGGAGTGGGGGTAGCAGCATTGGGCTCCCATCCTCTCAGGGCTGTTCTGCACAAAAATATGCAGAAGACCCATTTTAAGTCCAAAGTGTACATGACACAGAAGATGTGTGAAGGCTTTTTTCCAACACCGCACTCATACTCTGGAAACAGTATATTAACATCTATCTTTTTATAACTCAATGTATGCTGCTTTGGAATCTGTTGTGAATGAAGAGAGACTTTAAATTTTAAGACATAAATGGCTATCATAATAACAATACCTTTCTGTTACTTCGGGGTAAGTCATAGCTTAACCATCTCTGTGATGGATTGCTGCACCTTTTTCAAAACTCCTAAACATGTCAGTGGAGAAAAGGGACAGATCGCTTTATTGTGCCAATGTTATATCCATGCATATTTTCCTTAGTGGGGATAATAGCAGCTTCAGGAGGTGATTTTGATAAAAAGCATATGGGATGGGTGGACCCATGGGGTGGATTTCCTGAATCATTGGGGAACTCAAGTAGATGAACCTTGAGATCCCTTTCAGTTATGATTCCATAATGCCTTCCCCCAGGTCTGCTTTCCAGATCAGATTAACAGCCTCTCCATCACCACCATGGCTGGTTTTGAGCAAATTAAGTGATGTTTCCCTTAGGAGTGTTATTTGGACTGCAGGAGCCATTTTGTGTTTGTCATTCATACCTTCCACTTTGGGATCAATGTGGTGTAACGGGGAGCGTTTTGGACTGGAACTTCGAAGATATGGGTTCTAGTCCCACATGACCCTAAAGCTCACTGGGTGACACTGATCCTCAGCTGCACCTGCCTCACAAGATTGATACGAGGATAACATGGAGAGTAGAGTTTGGTAAGCCACCTTGATTCTTTGCAAGAAAAAAGGCAGTCATTTTCCAAGTGGTTCTCAGGAGGCCTCCCCTCCAAGCACTAGGCTTAGCTTCAGCAAGGTGATGCTGCCTGTGCCCTCAGACCATGTGCTTGATCTGCAGATGACACAGATTGGGAGCAAAGACTGTCTCGGTATCTTGATGCTGTGTGCCAAGGCAATGAGGGTACAGCAGGAACATTGCAGATGACTTATGCTGGGGCAGACCATGGGGTCATTTAGTCCAGTATTGTCCAGCCTGCCTGGCAGCTGCTTTCCAAGTTTCCACAGAGGAGTCTCTCAGACCTACCTGAGGTTGCAGATTGAACATGGAACCTTCTGTATGCCAAGCATGTCCCCGGCCACTAACTTGCAGCCCTTCAAGGAATGAGAGAGAACTTGCTTGGTATTTCTGCTATGAGGATGAAATTACTTTGGTGGAATGCTGTGGGGTTTGTTTTATTTTACTTATTTATTATAAGCTGTGCCAAGACATTCTGCAAGGGATGGGACAGAAAAGGTTTTAAATAATTAATTGTTTCTTTTGATTATTTATTGTTACTGAGGTTTTCATCGTTTAGGTATGAAATTTGATATTGTGGGTTTTACTATGTGAACTGTCTAGAGAGCCATGTAGCTATGAGACAGTATATAAATAATTTTAAAAACTTGGTACAGGGATGTAAGTCTGTGCAGGTTTTTTCTAGTGGGCATAATGTCTAGCACAGAGCAGCAAGTCCCACTGAAATCAATGGGACATTAATTGTGGCTACTTACCACTCTATTGCTTTCAATGGTACTTGACTGCAGCTAATGTTTGCACAGAATCTTAAGTGTACTACGGAGTCTGCTGCTTTTAGAAGGTTGCAGCAGCAAATGGATTTTTCCTGTGTATGTGTATAACCGACTAACCCAGTTCGGTGGCCTCTTGAGGACTAGGGAAATTGTCTGAAATTGCAGCAGGCTGACAATGTGATAGATAAGCATAGCTGGATTGCAATCAGAACAGTTACAGACTACGATCAGCTCAAATACAATCTCATTGGTGACTCTCTTTAGATAGACTTGGTATTTTTCACATACACACACTCAGATAATGTTTTTCCCCAGAATAATAACCTGTATTGCAATTGCAATGTTTTTTCTCTTTAAAAAATAGACTAGGATACACAGGGACAGTCAGAAGAAGGAGCTCTCATATCTATGGATAGCACCTGACTTCTTATGAAATAGTGAGTGAGTGGAAGTTTTACTGTTTGAACTAGGTTAGGTATAGGTAAGCCATTGGAAAGGCTTAGGTATGGATGACACTGGATGATATGAAAGCTAATTGTGGTGATTATTATTAAAACTGATACACCACAAAATATAATATAGCATAATATCATAACCAAAGCAGTTTACCTGCAACAATTTTAAAAGCACAACATTAGAACACTATAAAAATCACAGCTTAGAATACACAATTAGAAACAATTTTACCTACCATGATAATAAAGGTAATGGAAAAAACAATAAAATGGACCAGCAGCATGACTAATTAGGATTAATGATGAGCTGGAGAGAGCCTACTTAAGAAGTGGATTCTCAGGAGGCATTTAAAACACCACAGTTTTGCCTCCTGAACTATGTGGCGGAGGATGTTCCAGTGGGTGGGCATAACTATGGAGAAGGCCTGCTTCTAAGGTCCCATGTCAACATTCTGTTAGTCATGGAACAAGCAACAAGACCTACTCTGAGGTTCTTAAAGGTCAGTTGAGTATCTCTCAGGGCAGACCGTCTGCTAGAGATCTTGGTCCTGATTTGTTTAAGGCTTTGTGACGAGGCTTTGGCACCCATCCAGTGATGAACATGCGTGTATCTCAAAGCAATCTTTTCTACATTAGCAGGGCCAGCCCCACCCCCCCAAATCCACATTGTACGAGTGCCGTGTTGCAGTTACAACAACAACAAAAATAAGCATTTGCTAAGAACAGAAAAATAACCAATACCAACACACCTATGTAAAGCAAACACAGACCCAGAAGTGACAGTGCCCATACAACATGGATCTGCCTTGCTACCGATTAGCCTTCCCACCCATCCATCCTGTCTCCAAATCCCAGTATTCCCTGACCTCCTAGAATCACAAACTAAAAGAGAGTTTAGCCAGTGTGGCGTAGTGGTTAAGAGCACGGGACTGGGACTCAGGCGACCTGGGTTCTAGTCCCCGCTCAGCCATGGAGCCAACTGGGTGACTTTGGGCCAGTCACAGACTCTCAGCCCAACCTACCTCACAGGGTTGTTGTTGTGGGGATGAGATGGAGGAGGAGATGTAAG